GTTCTTAAAGTGAAAGTTAAAAGGTTCGTTTGCCGTTCAGGATACAAGTAGACTTCATGCTTGTATATTAGCCAAGGAAAATATTAATACCTTTTTGCTTCCACAGGAGTACCGAAGTTTTGGTGGTGGTAAACATTAAATTTGAATATTTTAATTTCTATATAGAGTCTGTCCACATGATCCAAACTGGATTCAAACGCTTTTAACAGAAGTTGCTGCAGTCACAAAAAAAATACTAAAGATGCTTCTTCCTGCATTGCATCAGGTATGGAAAAAGGTGTGTGCGTCATTCTACTTAACTTAGATGAATCAATCTTTTCCTAAAATCTATCTCGTTAGGCACTTCAAAATAAGATGGGAATTGAACTTCAATTCCTTCAAATTAAACAACACAGTTAGTTTTGAAGCCTTCTCAAATAAGTTAGGATTAGAACTTTCTCTCCATCTGTCTAATCTATGTTCACCTTAAGGATATAAACAAAGATCAACACAAAATTTCTGTACATGTCTTAAACAAATATTTCCAAACTCATACTTTTTTAAGTTGATGCAGCGACGTAAGTGTTTTAAAATGATGTTGATAATTGACAACTCAAAGTAGAGAATAATAGCAGATAATGTAAAATCAATTATATTAATTCGTAGACCAAAAATTATCTTATCTTCCTTTCAGAACTCTTCAATATCAAATTCTATATTCAAATACTGTCAAGCACCTAGTAATGATATTTGGTTATATGAACGAATAAATCATCAAAGTTCACTTAGAAATTACAGACGATATTAAGAAATACAAATCTATTGGATGGATTAGTAAATATGTGGTACAAAAAAAAAAGGAAGGGAAGGAATAAAGTGTTTCTGATGCACTTGGTTTTACACGTATATAAACACTTTATCCAAATTTTTATTTTTTGACAATAATGAATTCAAAAATTTGAAAAGGCATTACTTAGTTTAGGTAGAGATATAGCGTAATGTTAGTGTCAGTATAAATAACTGTTTAGAATTATAACTCTTTTGAAAACTTTTGAACAAATAAGTCTATCTTCTCTTTTTGTTAGTTTATATATGAAAAATATTTAATAGAAGTGTTAAATCACTATTTCTATTTATCACCCAATCTCCCTAAATTATGCCCTTGGTTTCTGGCTTAGATGAACCTAGTCCACTAGGTATAAGCCTATCTGCTTTCATCTCTCTCCCATGATTACTGGAGTGAAGTTTCCACACCGCTGTGGAAATCTTCGGGTTCAAGCGGTTTTCGGTGGTTTTAGTGGGTTCAAGTCACACACCGATAGCAAATAAAAAAAAGTTATTGCTATTGCAATCACTATAAAAGACATAGCAAACAAACTACTCCACTAAATGTCAATCAAATTTGTCGGAATCATTGTACATTTATTGGGAGTTCTCTATTAAAAAATCGTGTTTTTTTTGTCTCTTATGTTGTTTAAAGATATTTGTCATCAACTGTAATTTATTATAGATAAAAGTGGAAATTACATTTTATGGTCCTACTTTTAATTGTAGATTTCCAGTTTTGTGCGTCTTGATTTGCTTGATGCTTTATTATTTATAGGCCACTTTAGAGACATTAGCACTTTAAATGTCAACATCGAACCTTCTGTTTAAATATTAATTATAAAATGCAAATCAAAGAGCGATGTAATCTCTGATTTATTGCGAATGAAGAGGTAGTATCAATAAAGAAATTCTTGGATTTCTTAATAGCATTTATCAGTTGAACTCAGTTGCAGTTGGCATTTTTCAAAATTTACTCGTTTTTGAAGGTACTGACAGCAATAAATTAACAACTTCCCCTGAAAATCTGAAGACGTGAAATTAGCGAGTTTTGTGCAATTTTAAGTTATTTTGTTGACTATTTTTGGTATTTACAAAATTATAGATTTGAACTTAGCGTGAATAAAGCTCAGAAAAGACACGCATGAGGTTAACAAAATTAGCGGCTGTGAGTATGGATGCGTTCTACTCAGTACTCAGTACACAAAGTACAAGTATGGAAAATGACCAAAAATCTATAGAAACAAGCAATCTATAGAAAAACCGGAATCTATAGAAAAAAAACAGAAACTGAAAATGAGAGGAAAATCACGTAGAACTAATGCACCTTTGCCATCGACTACTGGCAATGATTTTTGCAAAATATGCCGGACTTGGCTTAAATGTTACTTGCATGTGGCCGGGTCATTACTCAGCCGCTAGTTGGGCAGCACGAGTTTGTCGTTAATCGTTTGCAGTTAGTTGACTTGTATCTCAAACCACCTTTAACCAATCAAGAATCTTCACATTAGTTAAGTGCAATTCAAACTTTACACTGCGCTCAGGTTAATACAATAAATTGAAAAAGCCATACCAAGCGCAGCGAACAAAAAAACAAAAAAAAACAAGTAACATCAAAATAAAAATTATGACATTTGCAGATTCTAATGTACCTATGCAGCGTGTGCATTCAAAAGCGTATAAATGCATCCACGGTGCATAACAGAAATTATTCTTTTAGTAGATCTAACAGAAACAAGTAGCCGTCAATTGTAGGTGCTAGCTAGTGCAATCGCATATTTACCACTTTGGATTAATTTGAGCCAGTGCTTCACAATACTCTTCTCAGCTGCAGACATGAAATTGGTAAACCAGCAATCGCATACTTCCAGCACTTTAAGGATAATAAATTGTGGATTAATTTTTTTTTAGATGCTAGTCTTTGTTGTTTGCACCTTCATTGCTGTTTGTAGCGCTGCACCACAATCCGGTAAGGATGTTGAAACTATTGAGTATGAATCGGATGTCGGTCCTGATGGCTACAAATTCAGGCATGTTAAATAGTTGCAATATTAGAAAAATATTATTAAGTGTTGATTACATTACAGTTATAAGCTTAGCGATGGTACAATACGGACTGAGGAAGGTGTACTTAAAAATGTTGGAACCGAAAATGAATCTATATCAGTAACTGGCAGCGTGACGTGGGTGGGGCCTGATGGTGTAACCTACACTATGACATTCGTTTCAGATGAGAACGGCTTCCAACCTGAGGGAGCACATATACCAAAATAATTGTTGCTTGACTTTATAAGAGATTCGCCCTAGGTTTTATGTTTAGTCGTGATGTGTTAAAGTTAATGATCCTTTTGTCCCTTTCGTTAATAAGTTAATAATACTATAAATAAAACTAAACAATTCAAATCGGTTCAGTCAGTGAAAAATACTTAATATTTGTTTTTTTAATATTTTTAAAATTTATGCAGAGGTGGGATTTTGTGTTTTTTTTTTCTTTTATGAAGAAGGTAATAAAAATCGACCTATTTAAAAAGTTTAAACATACTATTGCCAGACAAGAAGGGTAGTACGATTCAAAACTTACTACTCCTATCAGCACTTCGTGTCATTAAAATCGTTAAATTACTATTTAATTACAACATCAACATTCATATGTTGAAAAATTTATAAAACAGAATTCATTCAAAAATGAATACATTATAAACTTAAATGTATAAGTATATGAAAAATGGATTCATTTTCAGCAGCTTTTTCGTATGAGCGTTTCATAAGATGGATATTTATTTTCAAATTCAATCTGAATAAAATCAGAAGAAATTCAATTTAGTTAAGTTGTAAAGTTCAATTTTTTTGTTGTTGCTATTCACTACTGTTCGAAGCTTCTCTATTAAATACAATAGATTCTATTAAGTAAAATAGTCACTACTGTCATAACTGACGTTTAAATGCAATAGTCGCAATGGATAAATCGTAGCATGACTTTTATTACGTTAGATTACTAGATTAGGTTCTAAACATAAAAGAGAATAATATAAAATCATGCAATAAATAATGTCTCTACAACAGAATAATAATGAAATTTATTAATTCAAAATAACTATAATTAAATTATTTAAATATTCTATAGCTGGTTTATGATTGCGGTCTAATATAACAGATAAAGTGAATTTATCACATTACAAAAAACTTCAAAAGTGGGAACATATAAGTCAACTACGGTTTCGGATCGGTTGGCTTATGCACACTAACTCTAAGCTTCACATTTGGCAGAGTATGAGTTCAACCCTTGGTACTTGCAGTTTAAAAAAAATTATTAACGAATAATCAAATATAAGAAATAATTCCCATTGATAAATAAGACCATTGATAATGAGTATTTGGCAATATTCGAAACTGTGTGGTCAGCCAAAAGTTCAAATAAAAATATTATTAAATTATGTTGTTGCAATTCACTACAGCTATCCATCTGTTTTCTGTTATCTATTTATAAATAAATGAATTTCGTCAAATCGATTTAGTTTTTCAAGCAGACTATGAATGTTGTCATTATGGTTTTTATAATATCGCGGTATCTATTTGGCCAAACTATAGCCATGGATTAATACTAAGGTAATCAATAAAATTACCATAAGTCATCGACTTGCGTTTATAACTACTAGAAAAAGCATTTACATGTTTTATGAGGTTACTACAGTAGCCGAAAACATGGATGATTGACTCATTTAGACCATAATTTAGACCATTTAGAACCTTTAAATCACATAAGTTGTCTGAAAAAGCTTTGAACAGAAACACCATTATTTTGATAGATATAGACTATGAAAAGTCTTAAAGTCACACTTATGAGTCTTATGATTATGATATTTATAAGGTAAGAAGGATGAATTAATTTAAAATAGACGGTTACATAGTATCAAAATATAGCGGTTTAATATCTCCGAAATTGTGGGAGTTTAGTTGTGCAGTCCTCTACACACAACTAAAAAAACGAAATGTCTTTTGAATAATATTTGCAGACTAAAGAATTTTAGAGACAGATATCCCTATTATTATGATTGTGAAGATAATTCAAAACTTCCCACAGCCCACAGAACAGTTGCAGAAATTGTCATTAAAAAAATATCATTTGTCGAATTTAGTTGAGAACCAATCAATACACACCCTTTACCCTATCATTTAGTATTCAAAAGTTGTAAAAATTTTTTTTTTCACATAAAAATTATTTATTTGTAACAAACAGTCCTAACAATTAAAGCAAGTCCTTTAAAAACTGAACTTAAGCTTCTGGGGCAACTGGCAAATGAGCGCCTTGTGGTTGGAAACCGTTTTCATCAGCAACATAGGTGACGGTGTAGGTTACGCCATCATCACCAACGAAACTGTATTTGCCTTGTACGCTGATGGCTTCGTTTTCGCTTCCAATGTTCTTGAGTTGACCTTGTGCATTAGCAGAAACACCATCGCTGGTTTCGTAACTGTAATTAGAGAATAATTGTTAGCACTAAAGGTTGATAAACCCATCTCAGCAGAATTTCTTTACTTACACATAGTTGAAGGATTCGGGTCCAACTTCGGAGTCTGAGCGCAAGATTGTGGCTTCCTCTGGACGAGGAGCAGCCAAAGCGACAGCGAAGAGAGCGGCGAAAACAATAACGAATTTCATTTTGTTTTTGGTGATTTTTGGTGTGTGCTTGAAGAAGCTTGAGGAACTTATGATTGTGAAAGAAGGTGACAATTTTAATTTATATCAAAATGCTTAAGGTTTAAAAATTTTGCTCAGCTACAGAATTCCGGTTTAATTAACTCTTATTTGGCTTTTTATGTTTAAGTTAATTTACATTCACACAGTTCGATTGCAAAAAAGAAGAAGATTAATACAAAACAGCGAAACTAACGCGTTATAATTTCGTAGTTGCCATAAAATTTCATACACAAAGGCAATAAAATAAGCGGAAGGCAGTGAACTAGTTCAGTGCGTATGAGTTGTTAATTTTAATTCAAACCAACATTTAATATCATTTGAAGATTTGAAGATTCTATTATTTTTATAATTTTTACATTACAAATTCCGTAAAACAAGAACTTTTGTTTAAGTTTTAAACTTAAGGCTTGAATATTAAGGCTTGAAACATACAAGTTTGTAAAATGAAACTAACTGGCGTCTACGACGTCTAATACAATGTCTACATTGTAGCGTCTTCGACGTCACAAGCCAATAAACTAACATGGTTATTTGCATTTCTTCCGAAAATAGAATTCAATGCTATCTTGATTATAAACGCTATTAGAGAAGAAAAGCTCCCACTAAACCAGATCTTAGGGCTAAGAAATATTTAATAATTTAGTTTACGAAATATAGTTTTTGATATCTGGTTTTTTTGTTGAAAGAATTTGTTTTCGGGTACTGCTATAAATACCGTAGTTTAGTTTCTGATTAACAACATTAGTTTTCTGTTAGCTAACAAGTAAACAATTGCATCAACCAAAAATGAAATTCGTTATTGTATTCGTTGCTCTCTTCGCCTTCGCCTTGGCTGCTCCAGCTGATGTTCAAGTTTTGAGATCAGAATCCGACGTACAACCCGATGGATACAAATTCTCCCTCGAAACCAGTGATGGCACACTCAAGGAAGAACAAGGATCATTGAAGAATGTTGGTACTGAAGAGGAAGCTATTGTAGTTCGTGGCTCATTCAGCTGGGTTGCTGATGATGGTCAAAAATACACAGTCAACTATGTTGCTGATGAAAACGGTTTCCAACCAGAAGCTGCTCATTTGCCAGTTGCTCCAGTAGTATAAATACGAGTAATTTTTTGTTACAAATGCAATTTTTTTAGTTTAAGATAAAATGATAATAAAATTCAAAAAAACATCAATTAAAAGTTTTTTCATTTCATTTAAAAATGCGAACTTTATATACAAACGTATAAATCAAAAGATGTCTTCACAGCCAAGCAAGCAAGTCATCATTTTTGTTATATCAAATATAAAATTAAAATGAAAATTAGTTGGAAATTAAATTTTTAAAGTCAGACTACTTTAAAACTTTTAATTATATTTTCGTATTTTACAATTATCTCAAAAATAATTATTTACGAATAATTAAATACAAGAATTATTTCCAAGACCACTGATGAAGGGTATTTGGCAATACTCGAAACAGCTGTATGGTCAGCCAAAAATTCAATTAATTAAAATAATTTAAAAAAAAAAAATAAAATTTTTGTTGTTGTTTCACTTCTGTTCGAAAATCTCTTTATGTAAATATAACAAGTTTCTATTAAAACTATAATAGTCACTTTCGTCTGGAAAATTTG